TGAGTGCGCGCGTGCACCGCGTGCACGTCATCTGGAAGTGACGTAGGCACGTTGGGAACACTGGGGGCGGGGCCCCGCCCCCAGCGTGCCCGGCGTGCCCACGTCACTTCCTAGTGACGTGCACGCCGGGGGCGGGGTTCCCCCGGAGCCCGATTCCACCGCGGCGGAAATCGGGCCTCCAAAGCGGGGGTTTCCCCGCCCCCTGGCCCGATTTGGCAGCCCTACATTCCTTACCTGTGTTCTGAACCTCATGGCTTGGATCCAATGGCGAGTTTACACAGATGGAAGGATTTCTGCTCATGGACAGCATCCCCCTCCCCCCTCCGCTTCCACTGCAACCTTAAATGCATCTCTGATGCTTTTTGAACTGCAACGGGGTGGAGGAGGTGAGGAAGTCGCATTTTGGGACTGGAAATCCATCCACCCAGGGCAACATTCACTTGGATCCAAAGGCTCTGGAATCTGTGCCCTCAGCTCACTTCTAATCCACCGCCCACAGTTTCTGCAGAACATCTGAGCGGACGGCATCAAAAAATACTGTATTGTTTGTGCTTCGAAACAAGAGAAAAACGAACATCTAGAACATTCGGTTCCAGATGTTTCGGTCCTGTGCAAAGTTTCGGTCTTCTGCAAAGATTCTCCAGGCCTTTGCAAATCCTCATTTCTTGATTTTGACCCAAAGTACTGCCTTCCTTTTACCCGCAGTACTACCCACCCATTCACTGGTCCTTGGCATGCACAGACAGGATAATTCAGATGTAACTTAAAAGAACGTTCATTGCATTTTTTGGAAACACTCAAGAGTGAGCCCGGCATCCCACTCAGTGCTTTTGACAGATGTGATTATCAGCAAACAGAATGCTCATCGTCATGTGGCCTCACCACCCCCACCCCCCGCCCCACACACAATCTTCCAACAGGTTTTTTAGAGCTATTTTGCAAAACGTAGTTGGCATATTCAAGGAATCGAGGGTCCATTTACTACTTGGTTTTTCCAACAAAGGAAACTGGTTTTTAAACATAGCCAAACTGCACGATGTCACAAAGCAGCAGCCAATCAGCGCTGTGAACTACCAGATATTATTTTCTCCAGACTCAACCTAAGGCCCCAACTAGATGTGATGTGCATCCCGGGGTTCACCCTGAGGAGGCAGCACCATTTTAAAAAATTAATTCCCAGATGGGAGCTCCTTTAAACTGTGCTGTGGTTGCCCGATTCTGTTTGGGACCACCACAATGTGGGAGGCAGAGGATAGCCTGCTTCCCCCACACACACACACATACTGTGTTTTCTCCTTGAATGGAGTTTTGACTCTTGAAAGCTTCTAGGAGGAGGAGGAGGAGATTGGATTTATACCCCGCCCTTCACTACCCAAAGGTGTCTCAGAGAGGCTTACAGACTCCTTTCCCTTCCCCTCCCCACAACAGGCACCCTGTGAGGTAAAAGAAGAAGAGAAGAGATTGGATTTATACCCCGCCCTTCACTACCCAAAGGTGTCTCAGAGCGGCTTACAAACTCCTTTCCCTTCCCCTCCCCACCACAGACACCCTGGGAGGTGGGTGGGGCTGAGAGAACTCTGACAGAAACGGCTCTTTTTCAAGAACAGCTGTGCCAGAGTTATGGCTTGCCCAAGGTCATCCAGCCATGTGCAAGTGGAGGAGTGGGGAATCAAACCCGGTTCTCCCAGATTAGAGTCCGCGCACTTAACCACTACACCAAACTGGCTCTCTACTTTGAAAAACGTGTTGGTTTCTACCGGACTCGAATCTAGCTGTCCGCCTTCAAATAGGTGCACTTCCAAGGAAGAAAAACAGCATGGAGGTGAAAAGCAGGATCCGCTCTGCCTCCCACACTGTGGGGTTCCAACCAGATTCAGCCCCCCGCCCCAGCACGATTTAAAGGAGTCCCTGGCTCGAAACAAACGTGTATAAAATGGTGGAGTGACCCCAGATGAACCTGGGTATGCTCATCAGAAGGGATGAGAACTCCGGAGTCCCTCTTTTTATGCACTTCCATAGTTACCCTTGGTAGCCAACCCAAAGCCAGAGAGCCAGAAGGAGAGCGCCCTTCACCAAGCAGAAAGCATTCGGCAGGAGGATCCAGAAGTTTCCCAGAGGCACCGCCCCAAAAAGGATCAGAATAGAGATTTTAGACAGTATCCATTTTCTTTGTAACACATACAATAACCGTTCAGCCAAACAAGATGGCCTCTTGGAGAGTAATTAAAATTTCTGCATACAATTCATACCAGAAACAGGACACTCATCTTACTCTTTGAATCAGGGGTCCCTAGCATCAGGTCTGTGGGCACAATGGCACCCACTGATACCTTTCCTGGCACCAGTCAAGTGCTTTTAGAATGTGGGTGTGGCCAGGCGCGGCTTTTGCCCAGCAAGGCTTCTGACGAGTCACTGGAGATTTGATTGGCTGTGCAGATTTTTATCAAACATTGCTTTGGCAACAGCCGCCACCACGGCAGAAGGATCTTCACCGGGTGATTGAAGGTAAGCTGTGGCAGCCATTTTGTGGCTGGCTCCACCTCCTTCAGCAACCATATTGTTGCTGTGGCAGCCATTTTGTGGCTGGCTCCACCTCCTTCAGCAGCCATATTGTCGCTGCGTCCAACCATGCTGTGTCAGAATTCCAAAAGAGCCAGGAGTCTCAAAAAGTTTGGGGACCCCTGATTTAAATCAAAGCCTGAGTAAGGTTCAGCATTTTACGGAAAGGCTGGAATACTGCTTACCGAGTCCCTCGTGGACCCCAGACCTTTCTCTATAGCTCTTGTGTTTCCCCCGTTGCTCCAAGCAGGGGAACCCCCCTATATTTGCAAAGCAGAGCTTCTTGTTGATGAAGAGGAACAGGATGGTGAGTAGGATGATGAAGACCCCGACGGCGGAGAGGAACCCGATCGCTTCAGGGGTAACTGGCGACAAAGCACACAGAAGAAAGCAACGTGTTAAATTGGTCCGGGTTTTTTTGGGGGGGAATCTACCCCTGGCAGCTGCTTGCAGGACATCCGTATAACAGTGTGTTCTCAAACGTGCGTTTCAAAAATATTTATTGCTTTTCAAATAGACTCAAGGTGGCTTACGATACAAATTAAACATTATAAGAAATGCAATAAAAACAGCAATTATAAAACCCATAAAAGTCAGTTAGGACTGCCAATAATAAAAGCTCCATCAATCAAAATGCAACGCTCAATAAAATTGTCATCGACTGCCTCCTGGAGACTGACAACGAGGGGGCCAGGTGCGCCTCCCTGGAGGAGGCTGTTCCATACCTGTGGGGCCGCCACGGAAAAGGTCCTCTCTCGAGGACCTACTAAACAAGCATCTTTATTTGGTGGGACAGGTAGAAGGGATTCTCCGTGATCTTAATTCCTGGGAAGGAATGTATGGGAGAAGACATCCCGGTCCCAAGCCATGTAGGGCTTTTACCAGCTTTTCTCCATAAAGACCTCAAGGCAGCTTGCAACAAAATTAAATGGAATATTTATTTAGGCCCCGGTTACATGGGCCGGATATCGCGGGGAGGCGTGGCTAAATGCCCCAGAGGAAACTAACCCGTGGTTGCCCGAGCACACGTCCCGGTCGAGGTCCCGTAGTTCGGGGGAAATGCCGATCAGACGGGTATCCTGCAGCACGGCACAGAAGCCGTGCCGCGCGATCACACTGGCAATCGCTCTTTGTGCGCATGCGCTGTTGGGCGCTGTTATGCAACCTGCGGAGATGACCAGCGGCGGGCACTGGATGCCACGTAAGTCCACCGGGAACGCGATCAGACGCCCGCCCTTGGCCCGCCGTTTCAGGAAACTAGTACCTCGTAGGTACTAGTTTTTAACTCCGCACCTTCAGCGGGGAGCCACGGGTTCGCCACGGGAGCACTGCACTTCCCAGATGTTGGGGTGAGATCGCGCCCGGAAAATCCGCGGGACTCCCGTGCCTCTCCCGCGGCAACTTTGCCGTGTGACCGGGGCCTTATTTATTTATTTATTTGACTTTTATCCCGCCCTTCAATTCTAAAGAATTACTAACTGCTTCCATAAGCCAACAAACACGGAACTAGTCTTGTTAAGAGAGGGATTAAAATGTGGAATTTCCTTCCAGAGAATGTGGTGATGGCCACAGGAATAAACAGATTTAGAAGGGGATGACGATAGATTCATGGAGGATAAATCTATCAATGGCTACTAGCCCTGGTGAGTGAGGGGAACCTCCACTTTCAGAGACACTAAACCTCTGAATCCCAGCACCAGGAGGCAACATCGGGGGAAGGCCTCGGCCTCTCTGCTCTGTTGTTGGCCCTCCAGAGGAACTGGTTGGCCACTGTGTGAGGCAGGATGCTGGACTAGATGGACCACTGGTCTGATCCACGATGTTCTTCTGAAGGCCTCAGCCTCTGTGCCCTGTTGTTGGCCATCCAGAGGAACTGGTTGGTCACTGTGTGAGAGAGGATGCTGGACTAGAGGGACCCTCACTGGTCTGATCCAGCAGGGCTCTTCCTATGTTCTAATGAAGGCCTCGGCCTCTCTGCTAGGGTTGCCAAGTCTGGGTTGGAAAATACTTGGAGACTTTGGGGGTGGAGCCAGGAAAGGGCGTGGTTTGGGGAGGGGAGGGGCCTCAGCATGGTACAATGCCACAGAGGCAGCCATTTTCTCCAGGGGAGCTGATCTCTGTCGGCTGGGGATCAGTTGTAAAAGCGGGAGATCTCCAGGCCCCACCTGGAGGCTGGAAACCCTACTCTCTGCCCTGTTGTCAGCCCTCCAGAGGAACTGGTTGGCCACTGTGTGAGACGGGACGCTGGACTGGATGGGCCACTGGTCTGATCCAGCAGGGCTCTTCTGATGTTCTTAAGAAGCTAACTGTTCACAGAAAAAGCTTGCTTAACCAGTTCAGCCTTACATAATTTCGGAAACTGTGACAAAGCAGATGGATTTGCTGTACAGGGTCATACTGGGAAAGGTGGCCCATCCGCTGAGATCTGAGCCCCTCCCACACCTTCACACCTGAAGTTGCCTTATATTGAAACAGACTCTTGGTCCATCAAAGTCAGTCTCGTCTACTCAGACAAGAGGTCTCAGGCAGAGGTCTTTCACAGCACCTACTGTCTGGTCCTTTTTTGAAACTGGCGATGCACAGGATTGAACCTGGGACCTTCTACATGCCAAGCAGATCCTGAGCCACAGCCCCTCCAAAACCACAATACCTTGAGCGTGTGACAAATTTAGTCTGCACCTTTTTGGAGATTGTATTAATTTTCACCTCGAACACAAAGAAGAAGAAGGAGAAGAGATTGGATTTATACCCCGCCCTTCACTCGGAGTCTCAGAGTGGCTTACAAGCTCCTTTCCCTTCCCCTCCCCACAGCAGACACCCTGTGAGGTGGGTGGGGCTGAGAGAGCTCTTTCCAGAATTGCCCTTTCCAGGAGAGCTCTGACAGAACTACGGCTTGCCCAAGGTCATCCAGGAGCTGCAAGTGGAGGCGTGAGGAATCAAACCCGGTTCTCCCAGATTAGAGTCCACACACTTAACCACTACACCAAACTGGCTCTCAATGAAGGGATATGGGATCGGGTGGGCAATCTCCACCCACAAACCCACATTTTTCACTGTACAATTCTTTCAGACTGCCAGTGCGTAGGGAACTCTCCACAAAACAGGACCCCTGATAAAGGCAGAGTTCCCAGTAGCACAGAGAGAGTCATATGCATGGCAAGGAGGGAGAGCAGCTCCAGATGACAAAGGCGCATATGTTTCTCACAACATTTCACAACTCTCCTCGGGCCATCTGTGCCGCCATTTGACTTGCTGTGGCTGCACCAGAGAACTAAATTAGCTCTCAGAAGCCTGTGAGAGAAGCCTGCGAGATTCAGTAGCACAAAGTTCACGCCAAAGACACCACCACATGAGCTCTCCTCTCCTGAGTTTCAAAGTGATGGGCAGTAGGTTCAGGATGGACAAAAGGAAATACTACTTTATAAAGAGAGTGATTACAATGTGGAGTTCCCTGCCACAGGAATAAACAGCTTCGAAGTGGAATTAGATAGGCTCATGGAGGATACGTCTATCAGTGGCTACTAGCCTTGGTGACTGAGGGGAACCTCCGCATTCAGAGGCAGTCAACCTCTGAATCCAAGAGCCAAGAGGCAACATCAGGGGAAGGCCTCGGCCTCTATGCCCTGCTGTCGGCCCTCCAGAGGAACTGGGATCTGAAGAAGTGTGCCTGCCCACGAAAGCGTATACCCAGAATTAAACTTTGTTGGTCTTAAAGGTGCTACTGGACTCAGACTTGGTCCTGGTTGGCCACTGTGTGAGACAGGATGCTGGACTAGATGGGCCACTGGGCTTATGTTCTTATGGCTTTGGTTCCATCACCACATTTTGAAAGTTTTTTTCTTTTCTTTTCCAAATGCAACAGCCACGAATGCTGTTTGCAGGACAGGACAGCGCTGGGTCTGGGGGTAGAAAGGGCTGTCAAGTCGCACGCAAGTTATGGATGATCCCTCATGGCGTTCCAGGGCATGGGAGAAACAGAAGCGGTTTGCTGGTGCCTGCCCCTGTGTAGCAACTTTGGGTTTCCTTGGCGGTCTCCCATCCAAGGACTAACCAGGGCTGACCCTGCTTAGCTTCTGAGACCTGGTGAGATCAGGCTAGCCTGGATGGTCAGAGGTGGTTGGCCATCGCCCACCTCATTGTAGCAATCCTGGACTTCCTTGGTGGTCTCCCATCCAAGTAATAACCACGGCCAACCTGACCTTTAACTCTTTCTTCCATGCTGTTTTCCTGCCAAAGAACTCCACCAATAGGAGAGCCAGCGAAGGGGAAGTCTGGGTGATTCTAAGGAGGAAGAGGTTGGATTTATACCCTGCCCTTCACTACCCAAAGGAGTCTCTGAGCGGTTTACAATAAACAACTGGAGCAGAGGTCCATCAGTGGCTATTAGCCACAAGGTATAGGTAGGAACTCTCGGTCTGGGGCAAGTGATGCTCTGTCTTCTTGGCGCTTGGGAGGGGGGGTCAACAGTGGGAGGGCTTCTAGTGTCCTGGCCCCACTGCTGGACCTCCTGATGGCACCTGGTGTTTTTGGCCCCTGCGTGACAGAGTGTTGGACTGCATGGGCCATTGGCCTGATCCAACATTGGCTTCTCTTATGTTCTTATGAGGGGATTGGATAAACATATGGGGCAGAGGTCCATCAGTGGCTATCAGCCATGAGGTGTAGATAGGAACTCTCGGTCTGGGGCAAGTGATGCTCTGTCTTCTTGGTGCTTGGGGGGGGGTCAACAGGGGAGGGCTTCTAGTGTCCTGGCCCCACTGCTGGACCTCCTGATGGCACCTGGTGTTTTTGGCCACTGTGTGACAGAGTGTTGGACTGGATGGGCCATTGGCCTGATCCAACACTGGCTTCTCTTATGATCCAACACTGGCGTCTCTTACGTTCTCTTATGTTCTTATGTTAAAATGTAGAAAAAGAGATCTAAGAAGAGTAACTCTAACCTGCCTCACAGAGTCGTGATGGATAGAAGACAAAGGGAGAAAGAACAGCCTTTGCCGCTCCGTCTATAAGAACATCTTCAGGCAGCCACCTGAATTCCCCAAAGGGAGCAGAGAAAGACTTAACCCGGGGAAAGAGGAGGGGAGGGACTTGCTGAAGTCCTTCAGCCAATGGGCTCTCAACAATTCATTCTGGGAGGCAGCCCTTTCCCAAGCAACAAATCCCTTTGTTCCAATTTATTCTTGGCTCCGAGGTGGGAGGAGAGGAGAGGGTAGCCGCCACCCTGGCACTTTTCCCATTACAAGCCCCCCCCTCCCCGATCAGTCACTCTATAAAACTGCCTGCTAATTTATCCCGTTTGCGCTAATTGCACCTCGTTATACATTTGGAGCCATGTATTATTTGCCTGCCTGGTTCCTATGGTACC